AGTGTCATGCCAAACTATAAAATGCATATCAATTATTTGGATTGCTCTAAATGAAATGACTGTTTTTTTTATTTTAGATAAAATTATAGGCAGGAAGTTGATATTTTCCGATCGTTTTTAAGTGCAATAATTAGAGGTGGATCTGCCTCATTTCAACTGCGCATCGTTGCAACAGAACCGGTTACACCTGACCAGATCTCTTTCCTTACGATTAAGAACATTCCTCGAAGGGAAACATCCTGTCCAACTCAGATTCCTGACAGTTGTGACAAAATGTCAGAATTACATTAAGTCTACCAAGAAACTTTCAATATTAACATTAGATGAGGGCATTAGTAGTTACAAACAAGATAGTATATTTATCATTTCAATCCTTTTGCAGACTGTCGACGATCGACGAGCTTTGACTATATTGTAAGAAGATATATTTCATCTAATGGATATTTCTGTTTCCTTTATTCGTTAATATCACTCTAACTCCACTTTTTTCTCTCACATTCTCACTCCTTCCCTCACATTCTCTCTCACTCCTTCCCTCATATTGTCCATTACTCGCCCCCTCTCTCACACTCACACTCACTCCATCTCTCTCTCACACAGTCTCTCTCACTCACTCCCTCACATTCTCTCTCGCTCGCTTCCTCACAGTCTCTCGTTCGTTCCCACGTACTCCCTCGCTCACACTCTCTCTTCCTCATTCACACTCTCTCTTCCTCGCTCGCATACTCTTTCACTCGCACTCTTTCGCTCGCACGCTCTTTCGCTCGCACGCTCCTTCGCTCGCACGCTCCTTCGCTCGCACGCTCCTTCGCTCGCACGCTCCTTCGTTTCCTTTAATGATCGTTCACTCACTCTAACTCCACTTTTTTCTCATCACATTCTCACTCCTTCTCCTCACATTCTCTCTCACTCCTTCCCTCATATTGTCATTACTCGCCCCGTCTCTCACACTCACACTCACTCCATCTCTCTCTCACACAGTCTCTCTCACTCACTTCCCTCACATTCTCCTCGCTCGCTTCCTCACAGTCTCTCGTTCGTTCCCAGAGTACTCGCCTGCGCTCACACTCTCTCTTCCTCATTCACACTCTCTCCTTCCTCGCTCGCATACTCTTTTCACTGCGCACTCTTCGCTCGCACGCTGCTTTCGCTCGCACGCTCTTCGTTCGCACGCTCCTGTCGCTCAGCAACGCTCCTTTCGCTCGCACGCTCCTTCGCTCGCACGCCTCCTTACGCTCGCAGCTCCTTCGCTCGACACGCTCCTTCGCTTGCGCACGCTCCTTCGCTGCACGCTCTTCGCTCGCACGGCTCCTTCGGCTCGCACGCTCCTTCGCTCGCACGCCTTCGCATCGCACGCTCC